CTTTGTATTATGTTAGGTTCTCTTTGTATTTTGATGATGATTTAAAACTATGATTCAAAAGAGTTTAATCTATTTTTGTGCTAAGTGTGCAGGAATTTTATTTTAAAATGATTGTTAGTTTATTATTATTATTATTATTATTTTAAATTTATTTTAAATTAATTATTATTTTTTAAAATAAATAAATATTATTTTTAAAATTTAACTGTATTATGTTAGGTTCTCTTTGTATTATGTTAGGTTCTCTTTGTATTTTGATGATGATTTAAAACTATGATTCAAAAGAGTTTAATCTATTTTTGTGCTAAGTGTGCAGGAAAATTAATTCAAGGATTCTAATCTTTTCTCACAATTAGAATTAATTTATGTTCTCCTTGTTCAGAGTTTTAGGTTCGAATTAATTTAATTTGATTCAAACCAATCCCGAACTTCTTTTTTCCGAAAATGGTTCGAACCATTATTTCTAGCTTTGAAGCAAAAAATTCTAGAAGGTTAAATTTTGACAACTCATCTATTCATTTATTCTTATTCTTAATGGGCCTTGGGAGAACAAATTGTCTGAGCACTTTCCAGAGTCAAGTAAAAAATAGTAAAATAAGGTGGAATCTAATTGGAGCATTTGTGAGGTGGCTTTGAAGGGCTAAATAGACTTTAATTGCAAAACTCCAAATCTACTATTAAAATGATCAAAAATTCATATATGAAAAAGGACAGAAGAAGGACAAACTGCTACAGAAAATTGAGTTTGAAATTGTTATGGTTTTCCTTCTTCTTTCATTTTTGTGAGCTTTTGGGTTAATTGTCTTACAAGAATTCTGTATTCTTCTTGCATTGGGATAATCCTTGAAGGGGTTGAGTGAGTTGAGATTCACTTGAGAGGGTCTAATCTTGCACCCGTAAGCAAGAGTTTGTTCTGGTTTAATCTTGCATCCGTAAGCAAGAGATTTCTAGTGGATTGAACTTTCGAGCAAGGAGGCTTGGGGAGTAGACGTACTCCGGGTTGCAAAAACCACTATAAATCACGGCTTGATATTCTCTTTCATTTCTTTTTATTTTTCTGCACTTTATTTACAAGATTGCAGTTGATCTTTATTTTATTTTGCACAACAGATTATACATATATATTGAAAACTTAATTCAC